CCTGACCAGTAAAAGCTAAAAATTATGCTAATGTGTTTGTAGTTTTCAAGTATGGCATTGGGCAGCTAGAGGAACCCACAGCGGCAGCCAGCCTTTTTTACTTTCCTGTAATGACCCAATAAAATAGGGAAATTTATAGGAATTAAAAGCATATTATGAGAAGGCAAGAACAGAGAAGTATGACAACCCCTCAGTGATGTCTCATAGCAAAATGATTTGGCTTCAGACAGATAGCCATGGTACAGACACTTAAAAATTAATTTTCAGACTGTTTACCAATTCTGTAATTTTCAGTTGCACTATTTCCTATTGTAAATTATATAATTTTAGAAATCCTAATGCACATATGACAGATTTGTTTCAAAAGCAGATTTGTGCTTTCAGCTACCCAAAGCCAACCTGAATGAAAGATGTCATGACAGAAGTGATATCAACTACTGAGGAGTTTGGGTTTTTTTTTACTAGTGTACAATAAAGCTGTCAGTTTATTTTTATGAGGTAAAACCTAACTCATAGATTGTATTGTTATTGGATTTGTGGTTCTTTAATTAAGTCTTTCCTGATTAGAAATTGAAGGATTGCCCCACTTTTTAGAGGATTTTCTTCTGGTGAGCTATTTCCATAAAAAGTCTCCTTACAGACAGATGAATTTATCATTGTTGTATCACTACTTCATGTTTCTGTAGCTTTTTCATCAAAGACTCTCCAAGCTCCAAATTCTGTGCAGGTGTCCTCCGTGTGCTGTTGGGTGAGCTAGCTTGAGGAGCATGGGTACGGTTTCCTCAGGGAAATGCAGGGTGTTAATGGGAGAGTAAGAAAAGTAATAGCTTCACATGCCTGAGACGTGATTAATGGAGAACTGCTGGGAACTCTGAGGTGTATCTGAGATGGTGCGTGGGTAAGCTCTGTCTAGAGAACATGCTCCATGTAGGTATTTTGGCAAACTGAAACCCTTGGGGCAAAGCCAGTTGCTGTGTTCTTTGTTGATGTAGACGAGGCCTGGGAGAGCAACGGGAAGGGCTGCCAGGTCAGAAACTCTGGCCTACTTTTCCCTTTGCCCGTGTTTTGCTATGAGATGTTAGCAGATAATGACGTGAGTCAGGCTGCACCTGCAGCTGCGTGCTGAGGTGAAGGGTTGGTGTGGTGCTGATGAATCAGTGGTAGGCTTAGTGCTTTGTGCTAGCCAGCACTGCCCTGGTGTGTGTGCAGGCACGGCTCCACATGTCCTGTCTGGTGTGTGCCACAGACAGGAATGATGGGTTGAGGCAGCTGGAGAGGCAGAAGTAAGGATAGTTTCTTCCCTATGAGATGCCTATGTTGGGACAGACCACAGGAGTGACCTGTGAGACAGGACAGCCCTAACAAATTTAGAATAAAGATCAGCATAGGGTTGTATTGGTCCTGATGGGCATCGAGACAGTCTGGAATACACTGCAGAAATCCCCAGCTGCTGAACTACTGAATAGCAGCTTGTTCATTGCTATCTGTAAGGCTTATGATACCATAACAATGTCCTTTCGGGGGCCAGGAGCTGCCACAAGCTCTATTTTCTGCTGTATGCAGAGATGCTCTTTATGTGAGCTACCAGGAACAAGACTTTTTATAAGGTCATTCATTTGGGTAGATAGCTAGCTGGTTTGCTACCTTTCTGCATACAGTATTATTCAAAATACAGCAAGTTATTGAGTATGCCAGCTAGTTTCGAATTAAAGATCCGAACTTATATTATTATATGGTCTTATATTATGTTGACTCTTCAGTATATTAAGTCTCTTCAGTGCCTCTATTGCTATGTTTTAAAAAAAAATCGAAACCTCTGTCTTACAGACGTCAGTGCTGTTTGACTGGAAACCTCCACAGGAGATGTTATGATGGTGTGATCTTTTTTACTACAGAAAGTGAAAGATTCTTTGTGATGCCTTTTCCCCTCAAATGTGTTATACAGAAATTGTTGTTAGCTGTTTGCCATATTTTAACCTAAGAATTGTCAAAACGAGTCTCTGTTTCAAGGATGTAAAGTCTTCAGGCAGTAAGAACAAGGAAGACCTACGTGCTAAAGAAAACCACACCCTCAGGCAAACATTATTACATGGCTGCAGTCGGAAAGCACATAATCCTACACTTGCACTAAAACATCTTCTTCCTTTTGCCCTCAAAGCAATTGGCTGAGAGCACTTAGTATTTAGAGGCTCAGATAAACCCAGTATCCTCTTTCTCTGTCCTCAAGTCATACAGTTGAAGTCCAAGAACATGTGGCTCAAGATGGCCTGCACATTTGAGTACGTTTTCACTGAGCAGCATGGGGTTTTTGTGGTAGAGGACGGAAGAGGAAAAACAGCACAGAAAGGGGGATGTATAGGAGAGAGAGTAGTGTGCCTTGAATATCACACAGAAGATGTATAGATGAGAAGCAAGAAGAAACCATCATCCGCATTTTAAAAGTTGCCATTAACAAAGAATCTGGAGATTTCAGAGAAGAGACATAAGTGGAAAGAGAGAAGATATCAACCAGGTGGCAGAAAACACTAAGTCAGCCAGTAAGGCTGCCTGGCTCCTGGTCACCAGCTCATGTCCCTGATCAGCCCAAATGCCCCAGTGCCCCTGCCCTGGGCACCCTGGCCTCCATGGCTCCAACTGTTCTCCCCTTGTGCCTGCTCCACCCAGGACTGAGTCACAGCTTAAAATAGAAAGTGAACTTCTCAGGAAGCGTTGTCTGCCCAGGCGTTTGTGCCCTGCCCAGCCCAGTGGGGTCTTGATTCAAGCTGTGTACTCCAAGTGCTATTTTAATGCAAAAGTAAATAGCATGATACACGTCAATACTCAGACATGAGATTTTGAGCAATAGCTCAGCCCCATATTTAAACTTCTCATTTCCATCTTAAAGTATGGTAATACATTAAGATGGGAAATAGGAATTTTTCTTTGACAGATTTCTTTGATCTGTGAGAAATGAATGAGCATATACAGGAGTATGAAGTCCAGAAGTTAGTGGAAATTAAACCTGTTGCTTTCGAAGCTTCTGATGGAAATTTTCTTCTCTTCACAAGGTAACATTGGAATTTTCCTTTCATTGCGACCCAGCGAATCGCAGTGCCTGCGGTTTCTGTGTGAGTTCCTATTGCATCTGTTGTAGCTTTAGATGAAGCAACTAAACAGGGCATGGTATAGCTTATGCAGTAGAAACCAAGGAAGATTTTCTTTCTCTGGACTCAGTGCAAAACATCTGCAGCTGCCGTCCCTGGAGACATGATCCCAAAGCTGTGCAAGTCAGTAGGAGTCTTTTTGTTCTGCTGGCCCAGGTTGAATTTGAGCACACAATACAGTTCAGTTTGTTTTGGTGTTTCTTCAAGCCAATAGAAAACTATATTGAATGTCCACTGATAATTTTGTGAATACTGTTTAGTTATATTTTATTTTGAATTCCAAACTACAGCAATTCTCTGTGCAAATGAAAGAATTACCCCATGTTCCCCTTTGGCTTGATGACTTTTATCTGGCTCATTTATGACCCATCCCAGTGTGCTCCTTTGTTCTGTTACACTTATTTATTATTGCTGCTGCCACAATCTGGTTATCTCCTGTCTTCTTTCTGATACCTGATACTCCAGACTTTTGATCTCTGGCCCTGAGGAACATAATTTGTAATTCCCAAGTGTGGAGCATGCTGTGATGAGAACAGCTATTGTTTATGTACCACCACTGCAATTCCCTTTCCAGTGGAAAAACCTGTGTTGGGCAAGAAATAGAATATAATTTCCTGCTCCATCAGCTGTAGATCACTGTAACTGCAGTGAATCCAGTCACATTGTCAAAACAAGAAGTGAGAGGGGAGAAAAGTAGAGATTTCAGATCAGCAACATCCACTGCACATCTGTGCGTTCTCTGTAACTTTAGGAACATGTAACTGGGCTTAGTTTTCTACAATCCCTTGGCAGTGATGGAGAGGGAAGCTGAAATTGCCAACACAAATTTTAGAAAGTGTGATTTTTTTTTTCCTTATGGAGTTGATGGAACCCAGCAGACTTTTTCATCTCCCTCTGTATTCACTTTATCCTAAGAGCACCAGAGCAGGCACATGATGTTGGCTAGAAGGAGACTTTCTCCTGAGTCTGTCATTGACAGTGTTCAGCCATCTAGAGAGGTCATTGCCGGGCAGAGTGAGATGCCAGGAGCACATGTATCCATTGCAGATTTTTGCCAAGGCCTCTCTTAACAAAGCACTGATATGTTGGTGTGGAAGCTTGCCATTTCTCTTCCTTGATAAAATGTTTGATGACTTTCTGAGTGGGTATTCCACAGACTGTCTGAAGCACTGTTATCTTTTCAATGAAAGAAACCCATGGCACATGTTTTATAGGGTTAAACTCTTTTCATGCAACTTAACTATGTTATATTCAATAAATGTTTATGTGTGGTGTGCTCCTATGCTATGTTCTCTTATGCTTGTGTGATAAAGTCTACATCAAGTTACTAACAAAAGGCTAAATCCTGCACTAAAGCAAATGGCCAGTTAGTTGTAACATATATTTTTTCTTGTCTAAGGGCTTAAGGTCTGTTTGTGATGCCAGAGCATCAGCATTTTCTTCCTGGTTTTGAATCAGTGAACTCTATAGCCTGCATCTGATCAATAATCTCTTTAAATCTGTCACTAGCTCCATGTACTTAGGACAACTGGCACTGAAACCCCTGATTTCAGCTTTGATAGTCGTGAATCTCAGACTGGAGTAAAATCATATTTGCAGAACTAAAAGCATTTTTTAAAAGCTCATATTCCCTTAACATGCAACCCATTTTATTGCTGTTTATAGTTGCTGTTTTCTTTAGGCACTGAGGTGCCAAAATGTTTTATTTATGCAAATGACAAATTATTTGTTCTTCAGAGTTGGGTGGAGTGTTTTGCATTTATTTTTTTTCTGTAGGTGTCAAGTCATCACAACAACCATCACATTTTGCTCATTCGGTAATTTTATATCTTACATGTTTTTTCCTTTTCTTTCCAGATGCAGAGGGAAATGGCTTATATGGGCCGAGATGGCCCAATTGCGTCCCGTCCCGGATCTGCCACGCATCCTCCTCACGTGATGCCCAGCTCTCCACCTTCCACCCCAGTGCCCCACTCCATGCCTCCCTCTCCGTCCAGGATTCCCTACGGCGGAGGCCGGCCCGTGGGTGTGCCAGGCAATGCCACCATCCCCAGGGACCGGCTCTCCAGCGTGACAGCCTCGCGCTCGATCTCGCCCAGCCCAAGTGCCATTTTGGAGAGACGGGACGTGAAACCAGATGAGGACATGAGTAACAAAAACCTTGCCTTGATCCGAAATGAAGGTCTGTACAGTGACCCTTACTTGTTTCATGAGGGCAGGATGAGTGTGGCTGCGCCCCATTCCGGACACCCCCTTGATGTCCCTGATCACATTGTAACCTACCATCGCAGTACCATGAGGTCATCAAGCACTTACTGCAACCCCTCTCTGCAACCTGAAATGCTGGAGCAGTCCTTGTACAGACAAAAGTCACGGAAGTACCCAGAGAGCCATTTGCCCACTCTCGGCTCTAAAACACCTCCTGCCTCACCCCACAGGGTGGCTGACATGAGAATGATCGATGTCCATCCTCACCATAGCGCTCATATTCCCCCCCACACTATCCAGCCAGACAGGTCTTCCCCCAGCCGCCAGTCCTTCAAAAAGGAGCCAGGACCGCCTGTGTTTGTGGATACGAAAGCACGGAGCGCCATCGGCCTCTCGGGCATGGCCGAGGTGATGCCCTCTACAGTTGACAAGCAGGCCTTTGGCTATGGGTCACCCATGATGCCCAAGGACAAGGAGACAAGGTAAGGCAGAGCCGGGACTTAATTGTGCAAATGAGAAACATTCTGAATCTGCGCATCTTATGTTGTTAAAACACCCAGGGGACAAGGTAACAGGTAGGAAGCTGCTGTGCTGGGCTGCAGTATTTATTAGATATCTGTCAGGTAGTTAGTAATTTAAAGGAGGTGCACCACCACCTGTTATTAATCTGAAAGTATTGTCAACCCATGATGAATCCCTAGTTATTTTCATTTGTGTAAATTTCAGTCACTGGAAAAAAATAAAATAAAATGATTAACTAGGATTTTTCTTTCCAGATAACCAGGTCATGTTACAAGAACAAATGATATTCTGTTCCTGCTAATAAGGGAATGTATTTCACCCCTGTTAAGAATGACACTGTGACATTACAATTTTGGTTCTTTATGGAGTGGAGTTTTTCTCATCTAGGGTTAGGAAATGGGAAGAATTTATCATTACTGTCTTATCTCCTGTAAAATATGAATTTGCATAAAAATAGGACAGTTGTTTGTAGTAATGTTCCTCGAGGGGAAACTGCTGAGAAGAGCAAGTGTGTCCTAGGGAAGAAATTGAAACACAAATGCTGTTCCCAATGATTTTTCCAGCATCAGAAATAGGTGGTGACCCGACTGTTGTTAACTTTTTGTGTGTTGGCAATGATGACGATGATCTCTCCTGTCTTTTTAAGGATGAGATTTACGCAAAGATCTGTGAAGGCTTCACGTGTCATGGACCCTGCCCTAGGAGAGAAAAATCGTTACACTGCCAGTCGGTTGCTGTGTATTTGTATGAGTTGCGCTAATCTCTAGTGTATTGTTTGTACTGTTAACTTTTATAGAGCTCTTTAGGGAAGTGAAGATGAATAGCTGGAAAATGCAGAGCTCACAGAGGCCAAAGGTAACTGCTGACTGCCTTAACCGCTGTGGAGATACATAGCTTCGTATAGCCCCCAGACTTCCCTTCCACCTCAGCAACTTGCTCAACAGTTAGTCACCTCTGATCAACCTTGGCCAGAAAAAAAAAAAAGTGTTGTAAGGTCTGTTGGTGGGGAGAAAATGGGGAATGGACAAAAATCAGCCATCCACAACAATGACAGGCTTATAGGTGGGTAGTTGTGTTGGCACAAGGATATGAGTTAGGGCGTATTACAGTCTACGGTCAGTGAAACCTGATTTGTATCAATTACCAAGAAAAAGATCCTTGTATCTGAAATTTCATTTCAAGCTTCCATTATTACAACTAGGGAAGAAGTTTACTATATTTGCTAATTCTAATCCAAGAGATAGCTTTCAGATCAAAAGTTCATGTTAAGGGGTTGAAAATAAGAGAAGACACCAACAGCTTTCCCGTCTGTGTGACTTTTTCTCCTCTGGGCATCTTATCTGTTCACTCAGCTCCACAGATATGCACAAGGCTGTGTATTTGTGAGTATATGAAGAGCAAGTATACAGGTAGCTCTGCAGCTCCTTAAGGGGAGCTTCGCATGAGGAGTTTTAGTCCTAGTCCTAGAAAATATTGGCAGAGATGAAAATAGCGTTTGCATAATTAACCTTCAAAGTAAGTACATGACCTTAAAATTGAGCATGGTGTGTATTAGCCATGTGGCACTGGAAAAAGTCATTCTGAAAGCTGCCCTTATGGGTTGTGGATTTTTTTAACTGTTAGAAAGTGTGACGTTTAAAAAATAATTGTAAATACCAAAAGAAATTCATACATGTTTTCAATATTAAGAATTGAATTTGAGTTCTACAGACACAAAATGCTCTAAGCCTTATTTTAGCTTTGTAATAATTTAAGAAACTTTGAAAGCAAACACTGTTGAGATTGTAATAAGCTAAACAAGGAACACTAAGGGTATCCACGCTGAGTTGCTCTTTTCCTGCTTCACCAGGGGCTTAAGTGTTACAGAATTGTTATGAGCACATGAAAGGTGACGTATAATGGCAGAAAGCAGTTGATGTGTAGGATTTGCAGTTTATACCCAAAAGCAGCACAGCTGGGCTTGCTTCTGTAAGTAAGAATATTTTGGGATTGGAGAAATGGGACTGAATTCATCCTCTTCCAGGCATAGTGAAAGGAGATGTAAGCTGCTCTGTCGTGCACATTATCCAGCTGCTGGTGGCTGTGCAAAGAGCCAAAAAACTGGGCCACAGAAAGTGAGTAGTGTTGTGTTCAGTCAGCCTGCATGCCGACCGTGTCAGGAGTGGGGTAGAAGTAAAAAGGCGGACTGAGTATCTGTTAGCCTTGCAAGTGCTGAGGAGAGGAAATCTTTTGCATTTGTGCACTGTGACAGGAGTCCCCATCCTCATTCATTCAAGGTGTGGGTTGAGGACCCTGCAAGCATCAAACCTGTCATCTCAGCATCGTTGTTCCCGCAGTCACTAGTGAAGTATAAAGAGAACAAAGAAAACATCTGTTGTGCCTTCTCTTTGTGGAATTTGCCTTGAAGTTGCACTGTCAGAATCTCAGGACAAGGCACAGTTTAAGACGGAGAAAAGATGAAAATGGGTAGTGACAATGCTAGAATTTAAACCAAATCTCTCTTCCCCTGTTAATTCTCCTTCAGTTTTTCAGTCTGGAGCTGAAGTGGGGTATATATGTACTTTATGAGAATATGTTGGCTACTTGTAGCCGATCAGATCTCTCATTGACTCTGTCCTGGTTTGGTTGAAGAAAATGGGTCCGTTACCTTTGGAATGTTATCTGTAGCAGATTTGGGTCCACAAAAGAGAAAAACTGATATTTCCAATTCTTCTTTTGGAATTTCCCATTTCAGTTTTGTGTTGAGGAAGCCAGTCTTGTCAAGCCTGTTATTTAAGCAAGAGTTGAGGAGGTTTTAATTGCTTCATGTAATTTTCTCTTGTGTCTGTTTTACCTTGGATGTTTCCAAGGTAGCTGCTTCTGTGGTATAAAGCATTATATAAATTCTCACAGTATTCATTTACCAGAAGAGTTCCATGTCAAGCTTTTTTACAGCAGTGAAAAGAAACAAGTTCATGGAGATTAAAAAAATTAATAATGTTATTATTTATGGCAAAAACTCAGAAGTTTTAATAGGCTGCAGAAGTTCATCTTCAACAGGTTATCTTCCCTTAAATCTGAGGTTCGCAGGAAGAATTAGTAAATTTTTGTGAGTGAGCATGAGTTGTTTAAATGGTGATTTGTATCGTATTTTTGGATGGTCCATTTATGTAACTTATGGTGGACAGTTCTGGAAGTTACCACAGGCAAATAAGGTGTTTAAATGTTGATATATTGGAAAAGAAGCTAATTACTCAAAAGTACATTAAATTAAATACTATTTAACTTACATACTTACATAACTTTTGTCCTCTTCTTTTTATGCCACACTAATGAGAAAAGATGATGGTAGAACTGAGCAAAAAATGTGGTCACATTCACACCTCGTGGTGCAGTTCAAGACTGAAGTGTAATGGCCACGTGCAGGTTATTGGATGTTGTTCCTATCACAAAACCTCTTTTGTCTGATTGTTAAACTATGAAGGAACTCTTTATGCATTAGGAAAAAATGGTCATACTCTGTAATGCCATAGGCAATGGGAGACTCCATCAGCAATGCACTGAGAATTGTATGAGAAAGACTTCGTAGATATACCTCAGACACTTTCCACAGGGCCAAAATTACATCTTCCTTTGTGAAAGATGTTGAATAACCAGGCAGTAAAAGATGAGTGCAAATGACCAAAATACAGAATGTATTTTGGCTTCCATCTGTTGGAGGCACTGTTTGTAGGAAGATGAGATGCAGGCTCTTGGATAAGAGTTGTCGATATCACAGCTGGCAGTGCTTCAGATCTTCGCTTTTCCTTTTAGCTTAAAGCTGCAGAAAGTCTGTGTTTAACCTTATTCTTAGAAGATTTCACCTGTGTGGCT